TAATTATCAAGAATTCAAGATGGAAGAAAACTTAGATTCAAAATAGCACTAAAATAGATTAAAACATCTTGTTCATTGGAGCAAATATAATATTAGTGAATGCATGTAAGAACCAGCAAAGAATCTTGTAAATACAATAAAGAAGGTTAAAATTTTTTATCAATAACATCCATCAAAAAAAAAAAAAAAAAAAAAAAAAAAAACAATCAATTCTTTGTTACAAAAGAAAAGATATTTAATGAAGATTGCATCCTATCTTTTATCTTTTATTATGAATTATTTCTATTTTAGTAACTTCAATAAGATAGAGAATCTATAATTGATAGATTTAAATCAAGAACCGTTGTTTGTTGACTTAATAAACAATACATTGTAATTGTTAAAACCTTCAAGATGATATAATCAAGATGAAGACCTTTAAGAATGGCATGGATTTCTTCAAAGAGATGGAAAAATATAAATCATTTAATATCACAACCTTAAAAGAGACTTCCTATGCTTGGTGATTTTATTGGAGGTAGGAATGACTTCTAATGGTATAATCAATGTTTTATTTAAAAGAAGTTATAAAGGTTTTAACAATAATAAAATAACAAGGTGATCTTCTTGGCCTAGAATGAGACATTATTAATATTTGAGAGGACATATCAACTATTTTTAAAAGAAACATTAATTAGAGTATGTGACAAATATAACTTGTTGCATCTTAGACTTCATCAATATGAGATTACCTCTTTTTGTGATACTCATCTTTAGAAGAGAGAGTAATATCATAGAAATATTTATTTTAATAATTATTTAGGTAATATAAATAGATAGAAGCAGATAAAAGTAGATTAAATTATGATGTCTTATAAAAAAAAAAAAAAAAAAAAAAAAAAAAACTTTCTAAAAGCTTTATAGATGTATTTTTATCTTTATATATATTAATAAGCGATTGATAGATTAAAAACTTGGCCTACAAGTTATTTACATGTTACATGTGTTAGTTACTTGTAGAACAAGCTAACAATATGGCACACATATAAGAAACTTGTCTTGTAAGTTAGATACATATCTTACAAATTGAACACGTATTTGAGGTCCTATAGAATATTGCTACAAGCTCATAAGTATATAATATATATAGAGATAAGAATGAAGCCTTCTTTACTCTTGTTAATTCTTTTCTTACTTCCAATCTAGTTTCAAGAGTTTTTAACTTCCTAATCCTTAGAAATAGCTACTCTAATTTCTTATTAAATGTATTTACTTTCTTATTTTTATTTTTTCATCTATCTTTGATTCATTTCTCACTTATTTATGTATCTTCTTTGAATTCTTGTCTTTAATACAAGCATCTAAGTAATAAGTTTCTTTTATGCAAATTGAAGTTTATGAGCTATAGAATGGCTTATTAGAAATATTGAAGGCATGTGATTATGTATCTTATTTCAAAATAGAAGCATCTCAAAGTAGATAGTACTTTCTTTATCTTTCCTTGAATAATAAGCATAGCACTAGAAAATTGCAAGACTATAGCTATGTTAAAACAAAGCAAGTAAACAAAGGATTGAAAAAGTTTAGAACATTGATAAAGAAGGTAATAAAGAAGGTAAAATCAAGATACTGAAAATGTTGTACAATATTATTGTTGTATATTGTAGCCATTAATTGTATAATATTGTTATCAATCATACTTCTATGATTGTATAATTTTCATATCCTAATAACCGTGATTATATCAATTTAACTTTTGTTGATGGTCATGATGATAAAAAAGAGATTAAAAATCTACATATTAAATTGTGATGATGAATAGATTGATTTAATAAATATTTAGGTTAATTTAATAATTTCCTACATATGTTTCTTATTTCATTGTTATACATTAAAAGTGAATTAATATAGTATATTGAATATTAATATAAGATATAAATATATAATTTAATAATCTTTTATGATATGAAGGATTAAATCTATTTTTTAAAGAATTGTTTTAGTAAAAATATGTAATTTTAATATCATAATAATCTTTTGATTTTGAAATGTAATAAAATTTATGGATCTTTTAATTTTTTTAATAATAAATAAATAAATAAATTTATACTATATAATTCAATATATATATATATATATATATATGTATGTGTGTGTGTGTGTGTGTGTGTATGTATGTGTGTGTATAATTTGTTGATTTAAATATGATTTATGATACCAAATGATATTAATAAAATCATTTTTATTTCCACAAAATAACCAAAATATATTTTTAAATCAAGATTTTTAATTTAAGTGTATTTAATGCAAATGAAATAAATTTATATTTTTATATAAAATATCTAGTTTTTTAGTAAGTATTTATGTGATACTTAAGATATTTATGTTGATTAAATTTTTTCTTATTTAGACCAATAATTTTTTATTTTTTATAAATTGATTCAAGTTATTAAAAAATAAATAAATAAAATAAATAAATAAATCTTAAGAAAAAAGTTAAATAAATGCATTTTTATTTAACAAAATTTTCAAGAATTAGAAAAATTATATATATATGATATAATTTTAAATATGTTGTAAAATATTTATATAACATTTTTTATAAATAACCTATAATTAATTTGTATAGATAAATCTACTGAATTGATAAAATTTTGCATGTTGTATCCAGAAGAATTAATTTTTATACCTTTAGTTTTAAAATAATAATATATGTTTACACCAAAAAAAATTATTTTACCAGGACGACCATTTTAAAAATTCATATTATATATGGCATGGCATAGCAAAGTAGAGGAAAAAATTATATCATTAATTTATTAAAAAATGACAACTCTAGCTTCTTACATTCTTTTCATATATTCATAAACTTGTTAATGTTCACTAAGATAGGCAAGAAAGAATATCTATGGAATACTACTATGGAATACTACTAATACCAACATAGTTTTGCTATTGCCACCACAATCCTATAAAATTTTAAATAGAATTTTAATCAAAATGTTTTTTGTTACCTCCACCACAACCATTTCATCATGGTTTAATATATACATATATTGGAAATATATGTATATTGTTTTATTGGAATAGTAAAAGCTGAAAGAACATGTTAAGTAGGTGGCAAGTTATGGTGGCAATAGCAAATATTGTGAAAGCAGTGGCAATTCCTATATATATATATATATATACATATATACATGTATATTATTTTCAATTTCACTCAGAAACTTTTGCAGTTCTATCCATTAGAAAGTTCATTTTGCACAAAAATCAAAAACTTTAAACATAAAATCAAATATTTGTCACAACCGGAGTGAATCAAGCTTCAGAGACATGGCAAAACGGGTCTCCGGACATATCGAGATCTCGATGTCGGTAACAAATTCCTGCAACCATCTTCAAGTAGACGACTTTCGGAGCAATGATCGGCAGTCTAATGCTTTAATAAGTAAGCCGAGGTTGAGCAATCGATCATGTAGCTCACACTCTGAGGGGGGTTCCAGCCTCTCCAGTCAAAACATTCCTGCTGATGAAGGATCAGCTTGTCTTAGAAGCAACATTTCAAACACTACTGTGGAGAATTTAGTTGTACGAGACATCCAGAATCTTCCTGAATGCCTCGATAGTTCCCATTATAGGTCTTATTTTGATCAGTCAACAATGAGGGCGCCAAGTGGGTTGTGCCTGTTCGACGATAAGGCGGTGCATTGTTGGTTGCACTGATCAGTGGTTTGGACTCCAGCGAAGAGAGAATGTAGTTTGAAATCCACCTTGTGTTGTGCTCTCTCAGTGGATGCTTCCCATGAGACCTAGCTAGAATGCAAAGGACTGAAGGTGCGGTGTGTTTGTTCCATGCCTCGCAGACGTAAAGTGTGACGTGAACGCTGCAACGTCACCTGAGACTGATATCAGGAGATAAATGAATCGTTTTTAATTTGGAAAATGCACCAGTCAGCTGATGTGACGCATTAGTTGCGAATTCGAGATGCTCATGGTCTAAACCTCTCAGATGAGCCTTGGATACTGAACAGATTACAGGTTTAAGTACAGACCTCAGCGGGGATCAGATTCGAAAGATTCTGGGTTTCAGTCGAGGAGGCTTAATCATTGTCACGTTGCAGCACCTCGTGAGTTTAGTACAATTTTGTCACCTAGCTCGATCGGATCAACCTGAATTTACTGGTCTGGTTGATGCCGTGTAAATGAAGATTTAGCCGCAGTCAATATTCGACCACGAATGACGATCACCTACATACGGACATGTGCGTGTGTAGGAGTATTTGTGAGTGTTTGTACAATCTTATCACTGGTAAGCAGTCGCCGTAGAGTGTTAAGAACGGCTTGGTCTCTGCCATGGATCAGAGTAACCAATGTATCGAGCATGACAGGAGGATGTCACGGTTCTGAGTTTCTTGAGAGGCCACACCCAATTAAATACCAATTGACAGCTGGCATCTTCAGAGCAGTAAATCTATTTGATTGATTATGGTCTGAAAGAGGGAAACTGGACCTGAAAGGCCCATCCTTCAACAATTAAAAGATTCCGTTTAAGTATCCATCGATTTCAGGTTCTGATCGGTAACGGGTCCTAACAAGTAGATTCTACAGCCATGCGCTCTGGGACAAAACAAATTCTCCCATGAAGACTATCTCATCTCTTAAGCATGCAGGTTGACGGTTGTTTTCCTGCCCTTGCAGACGATTGGCTAGCGTTGTGAAATCCGTACGGTGTCGTTATGGTTAAGTCTCTCCCTTCTCAAGACCTCTGCCATCCTAGTGCTTTGGCAGATGAAGTCCTCAGCACGTGATGGTCCAAGTCTAATTAAAACAAAAAAGAACATATAATAAAGGCGCCATCGAACGCGTTGTACGGAGCATGGTGGGGCATGGCTTCTGGTGGTTTCTGTTGCCTCAAGCGGCTCAATCCAATCTTAGACCCACTGTTGTAATGTTGACGACATTGTGGACCACCTATTGACTGCCTGGACACGGAGTAGTGAACACTCTTCTTCACAATCGCCAAGTTGATAGCTAGTAACTGCTTCATTACACAATACCCCCGCCGTACACCACCTGCCGCATACTACTTGGACTAGGATTCTTGCTGCAACTTTATCGCCTGGAAATTCTTTGAAAAGTAATGCTACAATTGGGATTGAGTTAGTGCTGTTCAAGCAATTCACATGGTAGGTTCGTCAACTTTTATGGTAGGGGTGTGCTAGGTTTCGAACGAGCTGGTTTGAAAACAAAAGATTCCAGAGATTCTGGTGTTATACGGCTTAAATTTCGTAGTCTGTAGGAATTAATCGGATGCGTTATCTGCGCCCTACACAGGGTTCCTTCATGCTGCTCTTGATCTGTACGTGTAGAACGGAGACCAAGAACCTTCCTTTCCAAGGGTGCTGGAGTGATTTGGAGTGTGGACTAAATCTTCTTCAGTGGTGATTGTAGGAACCCCTTCCTAGCCCTTGACTCACTTTCTCTGATCCTTCTGTTCAGACTGAACAGCACATGAACACCGTGTAGTGACGACTGCAGGGAAGTACGAGAGGCACAGTTATAAGCATGAATGAAACAGCACTTCACTAAACTATCCTTGTATTTGGTTGTGCTGGTGTTTCCTCTTTCTTCATCTGAGGGTTTCATCTAGGCAGCTTAGAGCAGTGAATATTATTAAGAGATTGTAGCTCCACTTGCACTGAAGTTCCTACACATTCACTCAAAAGAAGCTCGGGATTAGTATGAGCAGAACGGTGGTTTTGTCGGAATAGTCGTCTGAGTCGACTAGTTCCTGTGTGACGCCTCTTTGGGAATGAAGACTATACATGTAACTATTGTGAATTTTTATCAGTACTACAACGATTCCTCAGATTCAGTTCCTGGTCTCGGCCGCAAGGTCATTGAAACTGGGTGATAGATTCTTTCCGATCTGAGACTTGTGCGCAGTGCAGTAACTGTTTGTTAGTGTCGAGAGTTCACCTAGTATTGACCATCGACCACTTGCGGATTGGTTTTCTCGGAGGCTCACTCTCAACAATTCATTTCACTTTGGAGTGACAGCCTTTCCAATTTTTTATCGCGTCCGGTATGATTGTGTAATTTTTGTCATTCTGGAACATTGAGCCACATCTCTCCATTCGACAACACTCTGAGACTGTTGGTTGCAGTATCACCCCTAGTTACTTCCTCCAACAAAATTTAATTTAGGGTTAGGTTTTGACGAACTCCAGCAGGATGCATCGAAACAAAGTCTACGGTCATGCAGAATGGGCCAAGCACAAGTCATCTTGGAGACATGGTCGCCACCTCATGAGTATTTTATCTTCAGGAGTGATTTCTGCCGTGGGTCCTCCTGTGTTAGCCTGCACTTTACTCGCTACTTTCGTGACCGTCTTCAACTATTTTGTGAAAGTTGGGCGGTTACCGAATTGGATCCCAATCTTAGAGGTGTCGTCCCTTCCTTTCACTCTGACATCATCAGTGCTATCACTTCTTCTAGTCTTTCGAACAAACTCTTCCTACAACAGGTTTGATGAAGCACGCAAGATCTGGGGATCAAATGTGAACCGAACCAGGGATCTGGCACGACAAGCTCTGTCATGGATCCGGAGCCCGGCAGACGCATACAAGCTATCGTGTCTTCTGCGACACATCAAGGCCTATCCATTCAGCCTGAAAGACCATCTTACGGAAGACTTCATCCTCAAGGACGAGCTCGACCAAATCCTCGAACCACAGGAACTGGAGGCGCTCATGGCTACCAAGCACAGACCGAACTACATCCTGCAGGTTCTCTCGGAGCTCGTCGACAAGTGCAACCTCTCAGAGTGGGAAAAAATGGCAATGGACGAAAACATTACAACATTTCACGACAATGTGGGTGCTTGTGAGCGGATTCTGAAGACACCGATCCCACTAGCATACACGCTAGTCACGTCCAGGTTTCTGATTCTGTGGCATCTAGTTCTACCCTTCGCGCTCTGGGCAACATGCCACTGGCTCACCATACCTGTCACATTTTTGACCGCTACGGCCCTGTTCTACATCGAAGAAGTGGGAGTTCTGATCGAAGAGCCTTTCTGGATTCTGCCACTGTTGTCGATAAGCGACGGCATTGTGGCAGCACTAGACGGATTAGCTGCGGCGCACAAGACGTCCTCGCTGTTGTGGAGACTTCATCAGCCTAATAAAGACCATGTTGTGCAGATCACGTTTGAAACTTCGAGATCTGATGGGTTTCGCAAGAGCCGCGACGTGGGTCACGTTTTGTTAACGAGAATGAACTCCATTGCCTGAGGATTCTTTCAATGTACACTAGAAATACAGAACTAGAAAATCCTCCCATTTTTCTGATTCTGAGACCTCTTGATACCACCAAAGCATTAAATTATCATGCCTTGATATGGTAAGACTCCGCTTCTAGGTTTCGAGTTTTCTCTTCGGCACATTCTGATCTATTCTAATTGTATACATTTGCACAATTCTGCAATGCAAGGCTTCACTTCAAACTGAGCTCATTTGTTCCATTTTTGATCTTGTATAGATGATATTTTTTTTATTTTATTTTTTGTTTTTGATGTTGTTCTTTGAGTAATATTATGCTGAATCATTTACTAGTTTTTGAATTGCTTTCATTTTTTCCCTTTTTTCTTTCACATGATTGCATATGGTAAATAAATGATTGTTTTATTAGATGTATTTTTATTAGATGTATATCTAATATTTCATTGTTTGCAATTTCATTGTCTTCAAGATTTAGGTTGTTTATAGAATTTGTATGGCTATAGAAAAATTAAAAGTTTAATTTAAGTTTTTCATAATGTCAATTTAAAATAAGATGTTTAAATTAAAAGTATATAATGATGTAATGAAATGATATATGGTACAAAGTATCTATTTAATAAGTGTGTAAATTTTAGTGAATAATATACTACAATATCAAATGTTCTATTTCTATAAAATGCATAAAAATTATTGGATTAATTTTAATTTCAATTTTATTATTTAAAAAAATATAATAGTTAGTACATTTATGTAGGATTTGAATACTACCAATATTCTAAATTCTACAACTTAAACAATTCAATAAGCACCAAATGTATTGAAAACCAAAAGCATGTAATTTATCTATCATTTAAATCTTGAGTATAAAATTAAAATACAAAGAAAAAAAAATTAAACATTAAAAATTATTTTTTGGATCATATATCTATAAATAAATAAAAAATAGAAAAAAAATAAAGAGAAGATCATAGAAATGGAAGGTTGCAAAAAAATTGTCATATTGAAGATATAGTTGGAATATTAGAGAGATTGGAATTAATTAATCTTACATTATTTTTGGAATTGATAAGATTTTAGTGGTAGAACACATCTATGGCAGATATAGTAAGAAATCAAATCTTGATAAAATTGATGCTATATCTAGAATGAAGGCTTGTAAAAGTATTATAGAAGCAAGAAGGTTTTTAGAGGCATATATATTTTATTACATTTGGGTGCTTCACTTTGCCTATATCTCAGAGCCGCTATACAAGCTATTGAAGAAGGATAAGAGATTTGTTTGAAAAGAAGAATAAGAGATAGCTAAAGAAAATCTAAAAAATATTTTGAGTTCACCACTTAAACTTAAGCAAGGAAATTATTAATAAATAAGACTAGTGGTTGTAATAGTAGATACAAGTCCCATAGCAATTGGATGGCCTATTGAACAAGATGATATAGAAGGAAGAAGATTTATTATAAGATTTGGAGCCAAAGTTCTTACAAAGAGGCAAAGAACTTATCCGCAAGTTAAAATAGAGCTTTGAGGAGTACTTACCCCTCTAAAAGCTTAGAGAAATTATTTCATTAAGCAAGTATGATTTTGGAAAGAAATTGTATGCCATTACTTGGAATAATAATTAAGTATATTATTCCAAATATTACCATGCTAAGATGGATAGCCTATATAAGAATATTGAACCTTATTTTAATACATATTATTAATAAAGAGAACTTGATAACAGATATATTGTTTAGAATTAGGTATACCTTAGAAAAAGAAATGATGGCACATGAAAGAGGTGAAGATGAAGAAAAGAAGAGCTATAGGAATTTATTTGCTACTAGTAGAATGGATTCTAGTAATGAGATTCAAAATTTCTATAAAGATTTGTATGAATGCAAATTCAAGGATATTGAAATTTATTTGAGAATAATGAAGAAACAAGAAGGATGGATGGATAAAATCTTCAAAGATATTAGACACCAATCCTATATTTATCTGTTTAAAGATGGATTTCTATAGAAGAAGCCAAAAAGAGGTGACAATATTCTATTGAATATAATATGAGACTTTGAAATTAAATTTTAAATTTTAAAAGAATATCATGATATACTTTGGACAAGACACAAAGGAATTTAGGCCACATATACTAAGATGAAAGAAAGATATTGGTAGAAGAGTTTATACAAGGATATAGAAGACTTTATGAGCTTATGTATAGAGTGTTAGTGATAATCTAAATTTAGATATAGAGATGGATTACATCCTACTTATCCACCTTTTATATATTTTTAATTGATAATTGATTTGGTAGCTATGCCATCAAGACTTCAAAGTATAAAATATTTAGTTTTGGCAAGAAAACAACTATTAAATTATATTGAAAGAAAGACTTTGAGAACCAAGACTATAGAAGTATTATACATATTTATATTGAAAGACATCTTCAATAGATATAGTAGCATTGAGAGGATGAGAGCTAATAGAAGAGAATTGGATATTATTGAAGTACGAGAATTTTTTAGAAGATATGGAATTTAGATCAAATTGACTATTTTTTATAATCTTACAGCCAATAGAAAGAATGAGAGGGATTATCCTCCTATTATTTATGCATTGATTAAAGTAAGTAAGAATAAGCCAATTCAATAGCCTAAACTACTTCTATTTGCTTTATCGGCTAATAGAACTACTCTTAATAAAAAAAAAAATTATTAATATCATCTTTTGAAGATAGAAACATTCATGTAAAATAGGTTTCTTCAGTTGGCATTATAGGTTTTTGTCCTAACATTAATTCTATGGACATATAATCAATAACAATATTATTAGAGCTTCAAATTTCACAGTTGAGAAGGTTATGTGAAGACCTACAAATTTTAGCTAAGAGGTTAAAAGAAGCAAGATTAAAAAATAAAGAAAAGTTTGACAAAATTCACAGATTGAGGCCTAAGGCTGTAGAGATTAGAGATTAGATTTTAGTTTATGATAGTAGCTTTGAACATCAGTACAATATTATAAAGAAATTTGCAAAAAATAGTTTGGACTATATATGGTAGTTATAGTCCATGATAATGCCACATATATCTTACGTGAGTTAAATGGAGCTATCATTAGAATTCTAGTAGCAAAGAAGAAGATGAAGGCTTTGAAGAGAAGAGATAGGCGGTTCAAAAAAAAAAAAAAAAAAAAAAAAACTTGAAGAATTCTTACTTCAATATTTGGACTAAGAATATGAAGTAGAAGAACCTATGAGTGAGTTAAAGAAATCTCAAGAGGGTGATGAGGAGAAGCTCATAGCACATACCAGAAGATGTGCAAATTTGGAGGAGGTAGATGTTATATTACAATTGCTTATAGTATGTAAAAATTAAATAAAATATATAATATGTTTATAAGTCTTGATGTATATTAAAATGGTTAGTATGTTAATTTAAAAAGAGTTGATGTAAGAAAATTTATTTTAAAATTTACCTATTTTTATTATAATATTTAAATTATATAAGATTTAGATATTTAGTATAAAGATTTAGAGAAGATAGGAGCTCGAAGATGAAGATCCAAACTACTAAGTAGCTTATTTGGAAGGATAAAAGCATGATATAGGCAAATGAAGATAAGGGATGAAGGTCTTCATCTCTATTGGTCAAAGGCCATGCCTAATAGGATTTAAGTAGGCTACTTATGACCATAACAAGGATTTAAGCAACTTCAAAAGAAACATTGAAGAATTAGAAGCAAAGATTATAATATTTGGAATTTGAAATACAATTTGTATGAAAATTTTAAAAAGTTTGGAATTAGAATGAAGTTATAGCCATTTGAAGTTAAGGTATCTTTTAAGACATATTGTTACTCTTTTGAAGATACAAGAAGTTATATGATAGTTTTTAGAAATTAAGAGCTGTGGCTATAAAGGCGATTTGAAGACCTACATTTTTTACAAAAGAATTGTTATATTTGGAGTTTATATGAAGAAAATATAGAGCATTGAAGACAACATATGTAATTCAAAGGGAAGACAATTTTATATATAAACTTAGTACTTTCTTATTTTGAGACTTGATTGAGCAATTAGTGACAATAAGAAGCCCAATGCTTTCTTGAGGCAACTCTCTCTATTCCAATAGTAGATTGATGTAGATCTGAAAATTTTGTGGCTAAATATATATATATATATATATATATATATATATATTTGATGTTGTTGCAATAGATTTCCATCTACTTCTTGTTCTTTGGTTTTGAAATAAAAGTATGGTGCTATAGAATTTTTTGCAATATTAATTGATAGTTTGACACCTAAATAGTCAATTTTTATAAAATTTGTATTAGACATGGTATATGCGACCATTGCAATTGAGCCATAGTGTATATTGATAAAATTTGGTTTTTTTTTTCTCTCATATTCTAATTCCTATTTTAGACTTTTTATGGTTTTTATTCAAATTCTAGTTTCTACTGGCATTATTTTTTTTCTCTTTCTTTCATTTTCTACTTGATTCTTTTTCATGGTGGTTTAATTTCTCTTAAAAAATTATTATAGTGATCATCTTTTGATCCTTCTATACTAATGGTGATTGTAGCATATTGCATTGAATTTCTAATAGTTATAGTGGCTAGTTGTGGATGTAATCAAGCAGTTTATCTTTGCTTCTAGTCATTTGTATTTTATACTAAAGTTTTTTTTGGTTGTCTTGGAATCTAGTGGTATAGCATGCTTACAATCCAAAATTCCTTCTTACAATTGTGATGTGAATGTTCTTAGGCTCTAGCAGAGTATTAGTTTATATTTTATAAATCTTATCATTGATATGTGCAACAAAAAAAGAAGGTTTCTAATAAGATATATGTGGTGACTATAAGACATTGAACTTGCTTTTGAATCAAAATTCTTGCCTTTTATTAATCTTATTATAGTAGAATCTCTTCTTAAACCACTCTTGTTATAAATGACGTCCTATTGCTCTTTTATTTTTATTTTTTTATTTAATTTTTTTTCATTGAAGTTTTTCTTCTTGGCCAAAAATGTACTTTTTTTGGTTTTCATATAGTTGCAAAATTCCATGGCTACAATTTGGAGGTTAAGACTATTGGCTCATGCAATTATATAAGCCTTGATTGTACCTCAACCTAGAAAGAGCATCATCACTAGTAGTTTCATCAAAGAACAAATTAGCCTTGGATGTAGTGGAATTCATGTCTCTCATTTGCAATTAGTAGAACCAAGCCATTCATTCTTAGTAATATATTACTTAC